CTCTCCGCAAGGGAAGGGTCCACGACAACTCTCTTTTCCAGAGGAAACCGCTTGCTGTCTCGGGCTGCAGCACCCTTCCGGACAGATTCTCCACCGCTTGTCAGTTTGCGAAGCTTAAACCGAAATCAGAAGCAGAAAGCCAGCAATCAACTGTGACATTGAATGGAGACTATTGGCATAAATTCATCAAGACAACAGGACCTTCATGGTTACTGTGGGCAAGACCATCTCATCGAATGGGTGCAATTACCACCCGTGAGGCTCGCACTCACGCACCCCCCCCCCCCCACACACACGCACGCACACACACACACACACACACACACACACACACACACGTACGCACACACACACGTGCACTCACACACACACAACACATACATACACACACTATCTTTCTCTGCCTCTGTCTTCCTCTCTTTCTCTCTCTTTCTGGCCTCGTCACCTTCACATCTTATTGGCGATCACACCAGTTGAGACATGCACTTCACGCTGACCCATCATCACCTGACTTGAGATCTTGCAAGTTGAGACATTTGTTTTAGGCTATTACCTGGCGTGCGATATTGTGGGTAGGTTCTGTTTTTGTTTCTGAATATGTGACATTATCTTCAATGTTAGTCTCAATTCTTAGCACTAGTTATGATGTTCCTGGTATATTGCCACGTTATTGTTATTACCTTTTTTCTGTAGTTATATTGTTGTTTTGTTCACAGGAGTCACATATCCCTGAAGATGCCCTCTTGGGCGAACATTTGGAAAGGAGTTTGAAGTTTGGTTTTGAGAGATTTGGAGAGACTTTAATTTTTTTGTAGCCAAGGACTTTGTGCGGCCGTGGGCGGTGAAAGAAAATTAGAAATCATGGCAAGGCTACAGAGGAGTTACGCCATCCTTATTATTATTATCCGTTCTTGTTTTCCCTTCATCATTGTGCGGGAACCTGTCCTATGGGCAGGTGAGAAGGCATCTCTGCCTGTTCATTTGGTGACGTAAAATAAACAACAACCAGACCAAAAAAAAGAAGAAAAAAAGGTTCGCCCGGAGTCGTGAGGAAGGACGAGCACCGCAAGTTGAAAGGATGATTGAAAAAGAATTTGTTTTAGCTCACCTAACTCGCGAGCAAAAACCTTTTTCCCCTATTGTATCTATGTGGGCTGTAATTTCGCCAACAGTCCAAACCACTCCAAAGCTGTGCTTAGTATATGACGATAGTGCAAATTTGATAATGATACTTCCTCCGTATACAAAAACTTCGTGACTTTTTTTTTGAAAGCTGCGCACAGCTCTGGAATTGTTCCGTTTGACTTGGAGTAACACTCGCGGCATTGTCTAACCTGTTTTCAAGCTATATACAAAGAAAAAAGCAACTCAGACGAATGAGATTGAGTTTTTTCAGAGTCTTCGTCGCTCATGTCATGGTCACCTGTCCGCATCGCCAACAGTTGCTGCTTCCGCTCGCTTTTCGTTTAGATTCTTGTCACCTGCAGTGGTGATCCGACGCTGGACTTTGGCTACGTCCTCTTCATCTCTATAGCTGTGTACGAATCGGTGTCGATTATAATCAGTTGTTCCAACCCGCGACCTCCATTATGCCGTGAAACGAGTCGTACAAGCAGATCCACACGCTTCGCATTTTCTCGCCAGGATAATCCTCCCAAGCATTCTACTATGGCTTAGAGCAGGTCCCTGCGATTCCCCTTGGCGACAAATGAGACGCCTGACTGGAGAGAGGCGAAGAAAGCCAGGCCATCGACATTCTGATCCTGAGTCTGCGCTGGTTGCACGACGACTGAAATGTTTCATCTTGCCGTGCGAGCGAAACAAATATATGTTCTCACGCTGCGTAGATCTATGGGGCCGCGCACCGCAAGTACCAGTCCATCCTCAAGCGTGCAAAAAACATATCTCTGCCACTAATCGAGACTTACACTGATTTTTGCGCTTTTGGGCCCAAATAAGTCTTGATGACGGCAAAAAATAATATTGTCAACTGAATACGGAAGTGAACGAATTTGGTCGAAAGTGTCGAACCACCTTCATGACGAGCAACCGTTTGTGGCCACTGTTTGTGAACTTGGAGCTTGTTATGGTGTGTGTCGGCAGGAATTTTTTTATGGCGATCAGGAAACGTTTTTCACATCGAAATCAGTGGTTACCCTTTGAAATTGAGATGTTCAAACAGCGAATTTTCTACGTCGAAATGAAGTTGGAGCACCATCGAGTTTGATTATTCCGATTTCCTTGGTGGGCTAAGGTAAGGGTAATTAACAGCTAGACATAAAAATCTCACCTGTTCACGCCCTGTATAATCCAACTTCGACCTTCAAAGTGGGCGTACTCAAGCAACATAAATCATACATGCCGTATACATAAACCTTTGAAGGGAGCATGAAAACACGCAAACGCATAGCTGTGTATACATGTACATTGTAGACCCTAGTTTGTGTTCCTCTGTGTGTCTCGGTGTGTCGTCAATGCTGTATTCGACAACCGTAAGCATAAGGAGAAAGTTGCCGCTGTACGCGCTCTTGTGTGTAGTATGTGTGCCGCGTTCAGTTGCTGTCTAGTATGAGATATCGGTACATGTAGCTGGGCTGGTGGTGCGTATTGCCTTGATGTGGATCACCTAACCCGTGGCCTTCTAAAGCCTGTCGAAACGCATGCCGTTTCAGATGTATGGTCTCGTGGTGTGTGTGTGTGTGTGTGTGTGTGTGTGTGTGTGTGTGTGTGTGTTGTGTGTGTGACTGTGTGTGTGTGTGTGTGTGTGTGTGTGTGTGTGTGTGTGTGTGTGTGTGCGTGTGTGTGTGTGTGTGTGTGCATGTGTGCGTGTGTGTGTAAAAATGCATGCCGTTTCAGATTTATGGTCTCGTGGTGTGTGTCTGTGGTAGGGACCGGTGGATTCTGCTCGAAAAGGTGGCAGATTCTGCTCGAAAACAGTGACTCGAAATTGGCAGAACCAAACAAACCTTATGGCGGGCAATTCCTCGAATTCTGCTCCATTTCTTTATCCACATACCAAACATGCATGAAACTTACCAGAAAAAGTACCGAATTCTGCCAATTTTCTGCCGAATCCGCCGGACCCTAGTCTGTGTGTGTGTGTGGGGGGGGGGGGGGGGTGTTTGTGTGTGCGCGCGTGTGTGTGTGTGTGTGTGAGTCTGTCGCACTCACAATATCTCGTTTTCTGCTTATGAAGCTACATGCACATGTATGTGTTATTTGTAGGAGATTACAATGTAGAGGTGATTGTCTGCTTTGCGTTCCTCTCTGCTTGGCCTGCATTATCAATTTATCAGTACTGGTTTTTGCTCTTCACACGTACACGTACCCCCCCCCCCCCGCACACAAACAAACACACACACACACACACATACACACGCGCACGCATGCTTATGTATACGGTTTCAGTTTGAAAAATGCAAAGTGTCCTGTACATGTGTGCGTCTGATGCATTCACACGAACTTCAACGGTCTATGCATATACCATGCACGCGTCACTTCTCCTTTGAGGAAGGAAAACCAAAGCATATCAATACAATCACATACATGTATACAAACTTTTAAAAGTGTGTGAATGTACAACGTACGTTTGTCTTGTTTATGCTGTGTGTCACTTTGCTCTGGGCATGGAAATTCTGTCGTATTTGCGAATTGTCGTTATATACGCAGTGGTTATTAGAGAAGTTGACTGTGTGTGAATGTACAAAGTACGTTTGTCTTGTTTATGCTATATGTCACTTGCTCGGCCACCCGTGTTGCGTTCTCTCTGTTTCGGCTATTGCTACTGCACTGTTCTAGCCAGAAATTATTGTTGATAGGGAAACCTAGTGCGAACCTGGCTAGGCTTTGTTGGTGAGGTACTCTCATGTGTGCGTATCCGTGCTCGTTTGTATTCCTCCGACGGTGTGGTACACACATGTGATGTATGCGAAGTGTATCCGGCATGTACGAACAATGTGTGTGCATCCGCGGCACGCATGTTTGACATGTTTGTGCTCCACGTGTGCATGTAGGATCTAAGCGTGTGTAACGCAAGCGTGTGGGGCACGCCCATTACGTCCGCGGCACCGTTACATGGCCAGTATGTGATGTCCGACACGGGTGTGCAGGAGTGGCGCGTGGGCGTGTTCGCAGTGTGCACGTCTATACTCCAGGGTATTGTCCACTTTCCTGGTCCCAGGAGGGTTTTGGATGTGTGGACAACACGTGAACTGAATACAGTGGAGTTAGTTGGAACTCTTGTGTGCTTTCTGTGCACAGGTTTATCTACGAAATTGAGTATGGTCAAGAAATGCGTCTGAAAAACCTGGAGCACCATCGATTTTGCCATAACCATTACTCGAATGTCCGAGAGCAGGGTCGAGGGCAACCACATTGTCGAAAATTACACCTGTTCACGCCCTCCTTTCAGGTTACTGGCTCGTTTTCGCCGACTGCTCTGAATCGTACGAAAAATTCAAATGTTCTCCGCCGAATGGCACCATCACAAAGTCTTTCGGATCATTTTCGATATGCACCTCGCGAACATACCACCTTCCTGCACCTATACACCACAAACAATGCATGCTCCATTCGACGAGGTGGGTGTCATGAGTGTTCTTTCACGTCAGTCGCCGAAAGTCATTTCAGGGTGAGAATCGTTCTCAAGAAAAAGAACGCAAAAATCAGTGTAAGTCTCGATGGAACGCTTGAGGATGGACTGTACGAGCCTGGCCAGTTTCAGGGCAGCGAGTGCCGCATGACTCCGTGTTCCAGCCACGAGCTACACTTCGTCACGGTGTCAGTTTCGAGCAAGTAAGTGTTAGTTTTTTTCATTTGACTCTTGAGTTTCTGTCCGCAACGTCCTCACACGCAAGGCGTCCGTGGAGAATCTGTTCGGGATCAACCAAACTAACCTCAACATAGACGTGGGTTGTCGATGACAGCCTTTGGCGCCGTTCGTTGAGCAGGTTCTTGCTCAAAAACACCTTTCAAAAAAGTCACGAAGTTTTTGTATACGGAGGAAGTACAAGAAAGAAGAAACAAACTCTGCGAGCACCAAAGAAAAAACTCCACCATGAACAAGAAAGCCACCATGAAAAGGCTACCTCTTGCCCAGAGGAACAGTCCCGAAAAGGTGCTAGGAAACTATAAAGGACACAAGAAAAGAAACAAGTGCAAACTTCCGTACTGCGCCGCACGGTCCGTGAGAACCCCGCGCGGGATCAGCAGAAAGGTTCGCAGAGTTCATGACACGCATTGCCAAAAAGAGAAGTGTGAAGAGGTCAAAAGTAGACTCTACAAGTGCGATTCCACTGCAAACATCAGATCACAGAAAACTGTTGCAGGCAAGTCACGCTACACGTATGCATGCGTACAACCAACTACCAGATCTGCCGTCCTAGCGCTAGCCCAATCGCTCGTGATCACATGATCAATAATGACATAAGACATAGTTCTGCGACTGCAAACTTCGGCAGCTGGCACATAGCAAGAAAGAAACGAAATTAATTTTAAAACAGTTCGAACACAACGAAGAAATCAGTTGGAGAGAACAACAAAATTATCAAGTAGAACAATGTAAGTCCGGTGTGGAGTAGTAAGAATCAAAGGCGAAAGGGGAGCCTGCCGTGACTTTCTCGCTGTCATTATTCGTGTTGCTTGGCTGACTCATCTGTGTTTCAACACTGCATTTATAATCAAGCATGGCTAGATTTGTATTGCGGACACCTGGAGAAACATCATGAGCAAACCGAAGACAATTACAATATTTTTAATTTTTGGACTGCTTGCCCAGAAACATACCGTACAGCCCCGATTATAAGTCACACTTGATTATAAGTCGCACCCCAATTTCCAGGTTTGAGCAATATTGATTTGACATATTGATTTCAGTAGTAGGTCATGCTCGATTGAAAGTTGCACCCCCTTTTAATCCTTCATTTTTACTGTAAAATGTACAACTTATATTCGGAGAAATACGGTAACCTTAAATCCCAGCAACACTCCTTGGATACTCAATGAACATGAATAGTTTTCCGAATTTTCGGGCAACGCCCAGCATCATGTGTGGTAAGAATGTATGGCTTGGCTGGATTTCTACATTGGAGTCAGGGGATATTGAACATTGCCAAAAATATGAACCCATTTCAGAACATTGGGAAAGCTTTGGTCTAATTGTTATGTGCATTGTCTATGTAGTCTTTTCCAAAATGTCTCTTGTGCTCGTTTTTCGTTAATTAGCAACTTCCTTGTTTGAAGACTGGCACGGGGGCATTCGCGGCGTGATGAAGATTTAGATTAAATGGCTGATTGAAACTAGGGTATTTTTCGGAGTATAGTGCGCACTTTAGATGTGCTATTTTAGGCCCTAAATCGCAGTTGCGCACCATGCTCCGAATATGAAATGCATGTACTTCAATGAAGATTGAAGTTCGCACCCCCAATGAAGATTCGGGGTGCCCGTTATACAAAGGTGCGCACCATACTCCGAACATACGGTGCTACATCACTCCTTATCATGAAAGGCTTTAATAGTGAAAAGCAGAGCACAATCACCATAAACATTGCTATGTATCATGGGTCTCTATTGCGCTGAGCATCCCATTGCTTTGTAAGTTGCTAATCCCTTCCCACTTTGTGCACGCGCTCTTCATTTTATTTTTTCTCTTCTTCCGTGGTTGGTCTCACCCTCTCCTCAATTCAATTGGCTGTCTTGACATGCCACGAGGTGCAGAAATAAATAAATTAATTAATAATAATAAATAGACCAGATGTGTGGGACACCGCCTTCATTTCATCATTCAGCTGCAATCCACTCACGTTGCAAATTCAAAGCCAATTCTTTCCCAATGGTTTGAGCAATAGCAATAAAATGGAGTTTTCCCGCCCTAGATTGAGAGATCTCGCGGGTATTCGAACGACTAGAGCAATCGCATAATAATAATAAATAAATATAAAACAACATATTTTGTTGTTTTATATTTATTTTTTACTAAGTACACAAAATACTCTTCAGAAGTGGAGAAGACAACAGAATATACAATAACAAAACAGCAGGGAGGATAGGGGCTGCAAAGCAAGCCTGTGTGTGCTGGTAAGAGAGTTTTTGCATTTGAGGTGTCGCTTTCAGAAGTGAGTGGTGGTAAGTTATGTAAAGCCTAGTGCACATTCAATCAAACGCTGCTGGTACGGTACGTAAGCGGCTGTCGGGACGGCTGGGGTGAGCTACAAAATCCTGTAGGAGTCGGACAACACTACATGCAGCAGTCGTTGCCATGTTCAACCTCGAACGTCCGAGTCATTAAGGCCGGTTCTCAGTGCATGTCGAGTATGAGAAAGTCATCATGCGTTCATCTCACGATGGGACAAACACATTGAGCTCAAGTCAACTTTTTCGTGATGCGACGCGTTTTCCTTACACAAATAAAAGTACCGTAATGATACAGGCTTTAGACATCGTCCAAGACAGGGTGAATTTTGGACCTAGTTTATTGTTTTTCGGGACTTTACAATCTTTTCAATCAGTTCCCCTTGCATGAAGCGGAATTAAGTTCAGCATACCATTTTTCATGAAGACCAAAAAAAATGCGCGAAAGATGTGGCATTCAAATAATACAACAAGGAAATGATCGAACAGTTTGTCTGTAAAGCTTCTGAACAATAAATGAAATATTATCTTGCTGAAATTCAACTCAAGTCGTGCTAGCCATTCTGTGAGTTAGAATGGGATGCGCAATGTTCTAAACGCTAACAATTTGCAATTTCCGAGTACAATTTCCAACAACAACAACAACAACAACAACAACAACAACAACAACAACAACAATAACAGCAACAGCAACAGCAGCAGCAACAGCAACAGCAACAGCAACAGCAACAGCAACAGCAACAGCAACAGCAACAGCAACAGCAACAGCAACAGCAACAGCAACAGCAACAACAACAACAACAACAACAACAACAACAACAACAACAACAACAACAACAACCTTCATACCAATACCAGCAGGAGTGCCCCAGGGCTCGGTCCTGGGACCACTTCTGTTCCTGGCGTACACCATTGACCTGCCCACTGCCTGTGAAAATGTTACAACCTCGTGTAGCCAGTTCGCGGACGACACCGCACTAATTGCCATTGCAGGCAGCTACATTGAGTGTGAGGCTGCGCTACAAAGAAGCGTGGATGCCGCAGCAGAATGGCGAGAGCGCTGGCACCTGCTAGTCAATAAAACGAAAACCGTCATCCTCCCGTTCTACCATGCTAACCGACCCCCACCACGACTACCCGAAATAAAACTTGGCCAAACCCTATTAGAAACAGTAACACAACATCGTCACCTCGGCATCATCTTTCAGCACGACCTAAGATGGTCAGCCCACCTTGACTTTGTGCTGAAGAAAGCCGTAAAATCTTTTAATATTCTCTTTAGGCTCAAATCAACTCTACACACTTAATCACTCTCTCTCATTTAGAAAACGTATATCCTGCCTATAATTGAATATGCATGCATTGCTGTCACCCCGCTCTCAATCGCAGCCCTTGACCGTCTTGAGCGAATGCAGCGCAAGGCGGCCAGAATCTGCCTCCGTCTCCCCCTTTACACTCCTCTGGATCATTCAACACTGCTCTATCGGCTCAAATGGCCGACAATGTTCTCCCGTCGCAAAGTGAAGCTCACCCTCCTTGCTCACTCCATAAAATACCAATATGCCCCACAACACATACACTTGCTCAACCCCCCGCTCAAGTTACGGCCCAGTACAGCCTTCGACACGCACGCACTTGGCACCTCCCACCCTCCAGAACCGATCACTGTAGAGACTCCCCACTGTACAAGTCCCTAGAATACTACAATGCCCTCCCTGCTAGCATTCGTGACGTCTCCTCCCGACCTGCTTTCAAACAAGAAATCTGCTCACTGCTGATTAACTCAATCTGCTCCTGCAGCGCTCACCCTCTCCCATACTTGTAAAGTTCAAAGTGATGTAAATCACTTTCCAACTGTTTAACCCACAATCTCACCTTCTCATCAATTTATCTCTTATTGGCGATGGTGCCATCGTGAGAAAAAAGAATTCAAACAACAACAACGACAACGACAACGACAACGACAACGACAACGACAACGACAACGACAACGACAACGACAACGACAACAACAACAACAACAACAACAACAACAACAACAACAACAACAACAACAAAAGTTGAGTAGGAGTAGGAAGCAGATTTTGGCGCTCCCAGTTTTTCCCTAGATTTCTGCGGATTGAGGCTTACCCGGGGTGCCAGACCCCAACCATGGAGCGCAACATTAGTACTGCTGCCCGAAATGGCGAGCCACGATGGAAATCACTTACCCGTGAAGACATGAAGGCCAACACCGTAGTTTTCACCAGTCACGCCGGTATCAAGACAGTGGATGTAGCCGAGGCCCTTGTTACCCAAGGGTACACGGACGTCGCCTCCGTCCAGATCACCAATTCTAACCTCACAAAGGTAACGTTATTATCTGCTACGCAGACTGACGCACTGCTGGGGCACGGGTTTTTTATCGGCGACAGCCATTTCTCTGTACGCCCTGCATTCACCAAACAACTACAACTCCATTTGATGTCCCGATCTGGATCGAGAATACCGTTATCTGCAGTGCTTTGGCTGCATTTGGCCAGATCCAGGGAGACATCCGCCATGGTCAAATTCAAACCTCGTCGGGGATTACTGTAGGGACAGGTATGCGATTCGCCACCATCGAGCTGAAGGAGGGATGTCGGCAAGTTCCGTCATTTGTCCGCACAGCCGACCAGCACCAGTTTCGTGTCCGTCACGAGGACCAGAGGGCCACCTGCAGGATCTGCATGGGGGAGCACTTTGCTCGATCGTGTCCGAGCAAGCGGCCCACGAACAAACCACCCACAAATACACAGAGCACCAATTCGGCTGCACTCCCTGGATCACAACTGAGCTCGCGTACAAGTGCGCCCGATGCAGGAGGTAGTGAGGCTGTTGTGAGTGCTAGTTCAGGTAGTAGCTGTACAAACACGGACCCCAGCGCGGAGCCCGAGAGCTCAAATCAATCCACCAGCTCAGCACGCACGCGCATAGAGCCCAAGGGTTCACACTCGTACGCCAGCGCAGCTCAACAGGGAGCCCGTGCACAGTTCAACTGTACGCACGGGGCGGCCGAACAGGTGAGCACTGCACCCGACGGATCCCCTGCTAGTACTAGTACTAGTAGCAAGGATGCAACACAGCAAACCGCTGAAATGAACAGCGCCAGTGCGTCTGAGAACACAACCAGCGACGGGGAATCCAAGGAAATACAGAGCAATACTCCATCCTCTGTCGACCAAACTGAGGTAGCTGAGAGTTCCAGCTTGCAGGTAATCGCTCCCAGTACACCCCCAATGTCCGGCACCCCTCCGCCTACAGGCACTGGGGCAGGCCACGACGACGGGGCCACCACGGTTGCCTCTGACGATGCGGATTGGATACCCAGCGGTCCTCGTCGTCGCCGACACAGCCACGGCCATTCGACCATGGAGGAGAAAGCCAAGGCCGATGGGACATGGCCCTCCCCTCAGAGGAAACACCCGAAATACTGAGTCCAGATAAGTTTCAACAACTAGCCAAAAGACAAAAACATAAAAAATAAAAAATAAAATTCCCCCAAAAAAAACAATACCAATGTCAGTGAATTTGAACTTTCTCAGTACCAACGTGCGTTGCATATTCAACAAAATGGACGAGTTACTTACCTTTACCCGTTCGTGCTCTGAATCTCAGAACGAACTATCAGTCATTGCAGTCCAGGAAACCTGGGCTGACACATCAGACCCTGACAGTCTCTATGCAATCCCAGGCTACAAGCTGATCGGAGCTGACAGACAGGACTATGGTGATGGTGTTGCCTTGTACATAGCGGAACGTTTCAACGCAAGGGTACTGACAATACCAATGACAGCAGCAGAATGCATATGGACGAGAATTTCCACCGATAACCTTTCCCTCGTTGTTGCAAACATTTACCGACCACCCCGTAGCGATGGCACCCTCTTCTGTGCGGAACTGGAAAGAAGCATCAAAACCGCTAGAGCCGAAGGTGACGACCTCCTACTACTTGGAGACTTCAATGCCAAGAACAGTGCGTGGCTCACCACGGACAGAACAGATCGCCTTGGGGACGACATACAAACTCTGCTACACACATACGGCCTCACACAACATGTCAGATTCCCTACTTACATCCACTGACAAACACCTCTCTCATGTCTAGACCTTGTTATCTCCTCACTCCACACCAATGATATTCATATTCAATCACTTCCACCGTTTGGCGCATCGGATCACACTACTATCAGTGGCCACATCAAAAATCAACTGCCCCCGATAATTAACAACTCCCCTCCACGATCCAGAAGCACCACATTCTGGTCATGGACAGACAGCACTATCCACCTTCTTCGAGAAGCCCTTTCACGAACAAATCTCAACCACCATCCAAACCAACACGACCCATGCCCAGTTGACACCTTCTGGCGATCCTGGCGCGTCAATGTCCTGAGCATCGCCCAAGAACACTGCCAAGTTACTCGCACTCACCCCCCCCCCCCCCTTGGGACAGGAAGAACGTGCCAGCACGACCATGGATATCAAAGGGCCTCTTGAAAGAGATCAAGGATAAGCACAGAAAACACAGAATATACCTTCACTCACGCTCGCCTGACGACTGGAACACGTTCACTGCCCAAAGAAACCGTGTCATCACCCTCCTGCGTCGTGCTAAATCGGACTTCGTAAACAACTCAACAGCCTCCTCTACTTCCCTACACCGCCTCATGAAGCACCTAACTACAGCTACAAAACAACGCATACCCGAACTCGTCAGCCAAGCAACTCCTGCAACGACACCAGCACAAAAAGCCGCTGCCCTCAACGAATTCTTCATTTCACAGAGCAAGCTGTCCGTGGCCAATGCGGACGAGCAAACTCCAGCCATTAACACCACCCCTGACATCCTCAGTCCCCTTCAAGAAATCTCGACTTCCCAAGCTGAAGTCGAAAAACTCCTCCGCGGAGTTGATACCAACAAAAGCCCCGGGTTTGACTCTATTCCAAACCGCCTACTCAAAGAAGCGGCTAAGGAACTTGCACCGTCGTTATCGTCCCTCTTTAATCTATCATTCCAAACCGGAGAAATCCCACAGGAGTGGAAAGATGCCACCATTACTCCAGTACCCAAGCCGGGTGACCCAACCCAACCAACAAATTATAGACCCATCTCTCTCTTGAGCACTACATCAAAAATCCAAGAAAAAATTGCACATCAACTCCTCTACAAGCACATCACACCCACCTGCCCAACCAGCAGTCCGGATTCCGCGAGAAAGACGGCACTTAGCAGCAGCTCGCCCTTCTCGTCGATACCCTCTCCACTGCGAGAGACGACGGGAAACACGTCAATGCCTGCTTTTTCGATCTAAGCAAGGCCTTCGATCGTGTGTGGCATGCAGGCCTTCTAGCAAAACTCTCCCACTATGGTGTCCAGGGCAACGCCCTGGAGTGGTTCCGACGGTACCTGTTGGGGCGTCGGCAAAGGGTCCAGGTGGATGGCGACCTATCGCCTTTCCTCGAGATCCCTGCCGGCGTCCCTCAGGGATCTGTTCTTGGGCCGCTTCTATTCCGCGTCTACACCATAGACCTTCCACACGCATGTGAGAATCCCAGCACCACCTGTAGCCAGTTTGCAGATGACACCGCTCTGATTTCCATAGCGAGAACTCTTCAAGACTGCACCCGAAACCTACAACCAACAGAGTGTCACAGCAGCTGGAGACTGGCTTCAAAGATGGCATCTGCTGGTTAACACAAAGAAAACAGTCATCCTCCCGTTCTACCATAATAACCGCCCCCCTGAACAGCTACCCCAGATCACCCTCTGGAATAGTCCGCTTACCGTAGCACAAAAACACAAACACCTCGGAATAATCTTTCAGCAGGACCTCCGTTGGACGGAGCATGTTGAATACATAGTCAAAAAATCACTCAAGTCTTTCAATATTCTTTTTAGACTAGGGTCTACACTCACCAGTGATTCTTTATCTCACATCTATCAGACATACATACTACCTATATTCTCATATGCGAGCAATGCTCTCACACCGTTGTCCCACACTTCCCTTGACAGGCTAGAACGACTCCAGCAGGAAGCCGCCAGAATATGTCTCCACCTTCCCCTTTACACACACTTAGAACACTCCCACCTTTTGCATCGCATCAAATGGCCAACATTATTTTCACGCTTTAAAGTTAAACATATACTCTTCGCGCATTCTCTGCGCCACAATTATGCCCCACCACATATACTCTCGCTGCATACTGCTAGCAACGTGCAACCTTCGTATAATTTACGTCGCTCTCGTACTTGGCACTTGCCAACTCCGCGGACTGACCGCTGTCTCCATTCTCCCCTGTACAAGGCCCTTCATTACTTTAATTGCCTGCCCACCCAGCTTCGCGAAATCCTTTCTCGTACTCCCTTCAAATCCGAGATATCCCTGCTGTTGCACAACTCTGTATGCTCGTGTAGCGACCACCCCTGCCCGTACACTTAAGTACGCAACTCTGTATGCTCGTGTGGCGACCACCCCTGCCCGTACACTTAAGTAGTCATTAACCCCTAGGCCCTGCCCACACAATTCTTCCTCACTCTTTCTCCTTTCTTACACTATTATCTCTTATTGGCCACTGGCTATCGTGAGAATAAAGATTTGAAACAACAACAACAGCAACAACAACAACAACAACAACAACAACAACAACAACAACAACAACAACAACAACAACAACAACAACAACAACAACAACAACAACAACAACAACAACAACAACAACAACAACAACAACAACAACAACAACAACAACAACAACAACAACAACAACAACAACAACAACAACAACAACAACAACAACAACAACAACAACAAAAACAACAACAACAGCAACAGCAACAATACTCACTTGACGGACTAACAGAGTAGGTTTGGGATAAGAGCTTTTGCCTGACTTTGACGCGGCTGACAAGTGTGACTGCCGTATTCTTGCTTTTTTTCGGATACACAACAAATGCAATAATCCCCAGCAGGATAACCAGACCAAACGTTACTCCAACAATAAGACCCGCTGTCGCGACATTTCCTTCTTTTTGGTTGCCGGATACAGCTGGAGACCACACATCAACGTACAAACAAAGGTCAGGTGATTGTATATTAAACATTATCGTACTGTTAGGTACCACCTCCCGTACCTTTTCTAGCTGGCCTGCATGCACTTGCGTACTCACCTTTTGTCTCCTTTTGTTCCGTTGGCCTGGGTAGCTACTTGCGCGCCCATATTTGCCATAGCTTCCCAGGCCCTTTATCTTGCCGGTCAGACTTGCTCTTTTTCTCCCTCTTCAATGTAGTCGTTTCGTTCGTCTTGGTCTCTTGTCTCGTCGTCTATAATAAATGTCTTTCCCCAACCTACCTGTTCCCGTTGTAATGTCTGGATAATGCGTCGTCAGTCATCCTTTTCGTATTCAACATTCGCGCCCGATTATTGATCGACCCATGACTCTGAGCTGAGGGGAGAGTGGTGGCTGCACGTCTGTGGCTGTAGACCGGTTAGAAGCTGCCCTTGCGTCTGCGGATCCGCTTGAGGAGGTTTTCGACCTCTTTCGCACTGACTTCGTTAGCCCACGTGACCTGTGGGTCTGTGTCGTTGTTCTGGCATTCCGAGGTGGCACTGTTACCTGGGCGAAAGGAGTTCTCTCCCCTCTTCACTGGAGTAAAGCCATCGTCTTCAGTGTCCGGTGATGGGTGTGTGGTTTTCCCCCTGGAGGTGGCCAGAGCATTCGGCGGCGTGACTGGGGTGCAGGCGACCGTGTTGGCGGCTGGCGACGCTGCTGGCTTTGCTGGGGTCAAGCTTGTGTGCGGTACTGCGGCTGCGACCACCTCAGTGCTGGCAGGGGTTGGACTTTGCAGGGCTTGACTGTACGTGTTTGGTGGTGGTACGGCTACAACTATCTCCGTGCTGGCTTGACTGCAGGCCTCCCCAGCTGGTGGAGGTGTGATTATCGTGGATGACTCAACTACCTCCGTGCTGCCAGACGGGCCTCGACTGCACGCCTCCCCAGCTGGTGGTGGTGGGGCTCGCCCTGTACGGGGTGGTGCACGTGCGTTTATGCCCTTATTTGGGCATTGTGCTGCGAGGTGGTCAGGGTTGTTGCACACATTGCAAGTACGCACCTGACCATCGTAGCGTACACGTACAGTCAGCCCGCCCTGGGTTTTTATGACGGACTGGATGTGGGTGCCCTTGTTTAACTTGAAGGTCAAATGTCGTATACCCGTAGCAACTCTCAATCCAGATTTCGTGACAATGTGCCCATGCCGTACTCCCTGCGTGCCTGCGCATGTCTCGTTACCCGCCAAACAGACAATGAGATCTTGGTCAGAGACCCAGATTGGTGCATCCAAGACTCTGACTTCAACCAGGGGTTCCGTGAAAAAATGGACAAGAATGGCGGTTCCGTCCAACTCAATGCCGTGATCTGCCATGGCCATCGCACTCTCGTTGGACAGGAAAGTTACAATGCATCGACTATTTGCACTTCTCTGTACCGATAGGAGGTCATCATAGCCGGAGGCCGCAATCGCCTCAGCCACATCCAAGATTTTGATGTACCGGGGGCAGACAAACTTCACGGAGTTTTGCTTCAGCTGTTCAGCAGGCACATCTTTCCAGACCGGAAACGTTTCCTCGTTGTTCATTTCTTGATTCCTGATAGACTGGACTTATGACATATACAATTGGCAGGCAAAAACGTTTAAGAGAGCATGTCTGAGAATACCAAAGTATGTGTGCAAGTGGATCTCTCCGATTTCGCTCAAAATTTGCAGGTAGGTTCCCTTTGGGGTGTGGATCGATTGTGCAAAGCCCTTGAAAAAGTTTCTGAAGGGAACCTTGAAATTTGCATACCCTCAAAAATGGCCGAAATATCACATTATTTATGAGTCTGGAAACGAGTCACGCCACATCGTATACGAACAAGCTATGAACAAAACTCCATCAAGCCAACATTGCCTCACCTTTCCTGGAGCAGTACCGCTTAGCCACGCCAGCATCCCAGAAGACGAGGTCCATCACCCCCTGACGCCACAAATGATCGTCTTGAAAATAGCCAATTTACAAGCGCTGGCAAAACAGCCAGCTACATCCTCAATTGGCCAGAACTATACACAGGCAGATAGTGGAACACCTCTTCTAGCGCTGAGGACATGTCCCCCATCTTTCTTTTGGGGTTTGCTTGAAATACACTTTTTGAATTTTTCCACTCGACCATGCTGAAATACGGCCAAAGTCATACCTGCGCAGGAAAGCTCGCCCCTCCACGACGTCTCCTCAGCAATTTCTACTCCAACACTACTCCCAAGGCCGCAGAAAAAAAGTGTAGTGTTGACTCTGACAAGGAAAAGCAGCGGTGATCACTTGTTACTCCAAACGACAAGCTTCTCCTTGCGCCACCAATAATTTTTTGTGCGACTGTTGATGAAAACGTGACTGAAGACCTGAGCGCAGCTTTTGAATTTTATTGCAAGATGCACGGTGAAATCATCATTCCTCTTGCAGTAAAATCCAAAAACTACACGGAAAAATTCAGTCACTTTTGCATCAAATGTTGCACCGAAAAATGTTTGTGGCGCAAGGAGAAGCTTGTTGTTTGGAGTGACAAGTGATCACCGCTGCTTTTCCTTGTCAGAGTCAACAACAAACTTTGTTCTGCAGCGTTGGGAGTGGTGTTGGAGTAGAAATTGCTGACTAGGCGTCGCGGAGGGCGAGCTTTCCTGCGCAGGTATGAGTTTGGACGTATTTCAGAATGGTCGAGTGGAAAAATTCAAAATTGTTTATTTCAAAAAAACCCAAAAAGGATGATGGGGGACATGTCCTCAGTGCTAGAAGAGGTGTTCTAGTATCTGCCGGTGTAGAGTGTTTGCTAATCGAGGACGTAGCTCGCTGTTTTATCAGCGCTTGTAATTTGGCTATTTTCAAGACGATAATTTGTGGCGTCAAGGAATGATTGCCCTCGTCTTCCGGGATGCTGGCGTGGCTAAGTGGTGCTGCCCCAAGAACTCTTCTAAGGTGAGGTAATGTTGGCTTGATGGAGTTTAGTTCGTAGCTTGTTCTTGTAGGCTGTGCCGTGGCTCGTTTGTAGACATACAAATCGAGCCAATATTGGGCCAATAATTAGGGGTATGCCAATTTCATGGTTCCCTTCAAAGGATTTTGCGCGGGCTTTGGAATGGCGATCTACACCCCAAAGCAAACCTATCTGCAAAATTTGAGCGAAATCTGAGAGACCGACTTGCACATATGTTCTGGTTTTCTCAGACATGCTGTCTTAAATACCTTTTTTTAAGTTTTTTATCACACAATGTTTGGACCATGGTATACATCCAAATGTCGTGCGCTATTCCGTCGGATAATAAACTTCATAATACATTTTTGTTCGCCATCTCGTTCGAACTAAACCAAACTTCACGATTCAAACTGCGCTGCAAAGCTGAGATCCTAGCGCTTTCTTTGATGGCCAACATGCATGCTCTGTAGCAAATGGAAACCCCTAAAAAAGCAAGTCGTGAGCAAAAAGTTTGAAGTGAATGCCAGAAAGAATAGTTTGATTTTTTCCAATTCTATTCGTCACCGCTCACTCACATCTAGTTTTGTCGCAAAAGACTTTATATCACTGGATGCTGAGCTCAATACCTTTCCAACGGTGTATCGTGTTTGGAAATTGGCCGCCGTTGACATAAGTTACGGCAGTTTGTACAGTGATGTCTGCACCTCACACTATAGCGTGGGCAGTGGAGCGAGATATATCGTCATCCGCCGTTCAGGTACACTTTACACATTTACAGAGCGAGATATTTCGTCCTACCTGGTTCAAGTCCTGCCTGGGAGCGGTTTTTCAAGCCGTGCTGCCACCAACAGTCAACTGGAAACTTGTGGCCAGGCACAAGGGGTACATGGACGCAGCTAATGGGGTCGTTCTCGGCACTTGTGCCAGTGGTTGTGAGACTTATCCACTCACCCCCACCGTTAGGCGCTGCATCTGCCGCTAGGGTTAACCGGGTATTAACGGCCGTCGTGAGTTCCCTTCGGGAACGGCCACGATAATTTACTTTTTTATATATTTTTATATCTCTTCATCAGCACTGAAAGGGTGTGCGGATTCGTCAGTGTAAGCCAGTTTGGCGTGGGCAAAAATAAGCATGTAGCAGCACTGCAGGTATAATCAGACTTTCAAACATTGTTCATTTTGTGTTATTGTGTATGTTTGATAAGAAAGACCATGATTCTGAAAGATTTATTGTGCACCAGGATGCGGAGTGACCTGCTACCATTCTAATGAACTATCCGTAGTGTTGGCACCTGAAATCCAACCCCTAGTTTTCATACTCGAGTGCACAACCGATTATGCATGTAGTGTAATGGGTAGCCGAGTGGTAGGCGCGGTGTAATCAACAAGAATTATCCTTTATTCTATTTCTTTCAGGTACTCACCTGAGATATAATTATTAGTGAAAGAAGAAGCGGCAATTAAATAACTTTCTCTCAGGTGCTCCCCTAGAGGCTGATTTCTTCTTCTTCGAGTTAGCTTTCGTTGCTATCTAATCTAATCTTCCTCAAAACAGAAATGCGCAGCCGCTTTAATGCAGCAGACGCCCTACGCTTACATACGGAGATACACTAAATATACATCAGGCAAAGCTCCGTATTAGTTCCGTACTACTTCCGTATTGGTCGGGCAGGGATACTACATGTAGCAGTCTGTGTGTGGCAGTGTGAAATACAACATGTACACATAATTGGGAATTGCAATACAAGCACATTCCTCCAGGGGAGGATTTCAGTTGCCAGCCCCATACTAGTGTTAGCGGCAGCACTTACCTTCACAGTGCGGTAATGAAGTGAGATTCCCATGAACTGTGCAAGTTGATGTGGCATCACCCTTTAGCAAAAAGCCCTCATTGCATGAAAAGGAAACATTGCTTCCCCACCGGATCATGGTGCTATCAGCAGTGCCGTTACCAACAGAAGGTACAGCGCAGTTTACAGCTGTACGCAGAATGAGAGCAACACGAAAATAAGCTTTCACTGCTGGCCCTAGTTTCCCCTTGTTGGCTAAGCTTTCAGCGCACTTACTTTCATTTTGAACCCTGCATGCAAGTCGCAGAGCAAAATCTTCCACCATTTTTGATTACATTTATGGATTTCCATGATCCACGGCTTGTTGGAAAGGCCTGAGCCAAGCGAAGAGTCCTTGGTAGTTCTCAGCTTCATAGGCATTCCAGGGTCACTTCTATATGCTCTAGAAGATGCCTTTACGTGTATCATAAACGCTAAAAAAACTTCATAATACATTTTTTGTTCGCCATCTCGTTCAAACTAAACTAAACTCCACGATTCAAACTGCGCTGTAAAGATGAAAAGCAAGTCGTGAGCAAAAGGTTTGAAGTGAATGCCAGAAAGAATATTTTTGATTCTTTCCAATTATATTCGTCACCACTCACTCACATCTAATTTTGTCGCAAAGGACTTTATAATGATATCACTGGAAAGCTGAGCTCAATACCTTTCCTACGGTGTATCGTGTTTGGAAATCGGCCGCTGTTGACAAAAGTTACGACAGTTTGTACAGTGATGTCTGCACTTCATGCTATAGCGTGGACAGTGGAGCGAGATATCTCATCATCCGCTGTTCAGGTACACTTTACACATTTACAGAGCGAGATATTTCGTCCTACCTGGTTCAAGTCCTGCCTGGGAGCGGTTTTTCAAGCCGTGCTGCCACCCACAGTCATCTGGGAACTTGTGGCCAGGCACAAGGGGTACATGGACGCAGCTAATGGGGTCGTTCTCGGCACTTGTGCCAGTGGTTGTGAGACTTATCCACTCACCCCCACCGTTAGGCGCTGCATCTGCCGCTAGGGTTAACCGGGTATTAACGGCCGTCGTGAGTTCCCTTCGGGAACGGCCACGATAATTTACTTTTTTATATATTTTTATATCTCGTCATCAGCACTGAAAGGGTGTGCGGTTTCGTCAGTGTAAGCCAGTTTGGCGTGGGCAAAAATAAGCATGTAGCAGCACTGCAGGTATAATCAGACTTTCAAACATTGTTCTATTTGTGTTATTGTGTATGTTTGATAAGAAAGACCATGATTCTGAAAGATTTATTGTGCACCAGGATGCGGAGTGACCTGCCACCATTCTAATGACCTATCCGTAGTGTTGGCACCTGAAATCCGACCCCTAGTTTTCATACTCGAGTGCACAACCGATTATGCATGTAGTGTAATGGGTAGCCGGGTGGTAGGCGCGGTGTAATCAACAAGAATTATCCTTTATTCTATTTCTTTACAGGTACACACCTGAGATATAATTACTAGTGAAAGAAGAAGCGGCAATTAAATAACTTTCTCTCAGGTGCTCACCTCGAGGCTGATTTCTTCTTCTTCTAGTTAGCTTTCGTTGCTATCTAATCTAATCTTCCTCAAAACAGAAATGCGCAGCCGCTTTAATGCAGCAGACGCCCTACGCTTACATACGGAGATACACTAAATATACATCAGGCAAAGCTCCATATTAGTTCCGTACTACTTCCGTATTGGTCGGGCAGGGATACTTCATGTAGCAGTCTGTGTCTGGCAGTGTGAAATACAACATGTACACATAATTGGGAATTGAAATACAAGCAAATTCCTCCAGGGGAGGATTTCAGTTGCCAGCCCCATACTAGTGTTAGCAGCAGCACTTACCTTCACAGTGCGGTAATGAAGTGAGATTCCCATGAACTGTGCAAGTTGATGTGGCATCACCCTTTAGCAAAAAGCCCTCATTGCATGAAAAGGAAACATTGCTTCCCCACCGGATCATGGTGTTATCAGCAGTGCCGTTACCAACAGAAGGTACAGCGCAGTTTACAGCTGTACACAGAATGAGAGCAACACGAAAATAAGCTTTCACTGCTGGCCCTAGTTTCCCCTTGTTGGCTAAGCTTTCAGCGCACTTACTTTCATTTTGAACCCTGCATGCAAGTCGCAGAGCAAAATCTTCCACCATTTTTGATTACATTTATGGATTTCCATGATCTACGGCTTGTTGGAAAGGCCTGAGGCAAGCGAAGAGTCCTTGGTAGTTCTCAGCTTCATAGGCATTCGAGGGTCACTTCTATATGCTCTAGAAGATGCCTTTACGTGTATCATAATCGCTAAAAAAACTTCATAATACATTTTTGTTCGCCATCTCGTTCAAACTAAACTAAACTCCACGATTCAAACTGCGCTGCAAAGCTGAGATCCTAGCGCTTTCTTTCATGTCCAACATGCATGCTCTGTAGCATATGGAAACCCCTAAAAAAGCAAGTCGTGAGCAAAAGGTTTGAAGTGAATGCCAGAAAGAATATTTTTGATTTTTTCCAATTTTATTCGTCACCACTCACTCACATCTAATTTTGTCGCAAAGGACTTTATAATCATATCACTGGAAAGCTGAGCCCAATACCTTTCCAACGGTGTATCGTGTTTGGAAATCGGCCGCTGTTGACAAAAGTTACGACAGTTTGTACAGTGATGTCTGCACTTCATACTATAGCGTGGACAGTGGAGCGAGATATCTCATCATCCGCTGTTCAGGTACACTTTACACATTTACAGAGCGAGATATATCGTCATCCGCCGTTCAGGTACACTTTACACATATACAGAGCGAGATATTTCGTCCTACCTGGTTCAAGTCCTGCCTGGGAGCGGTTTTTCAAGCCGTGCTGCCACCCACAGTCAACTGGGAACATGTGGCCAGGCACAAGGGGTACATGGACGCAGCTAATGGGGTCGTTCTCGGCACTTGTGCCAGTGGTTGTGAGACTGATCCACTCACCCCCACCGTTAGGCGCTGCATCTGCCGCTAGGGTTAACCGGGTATTAACGGCCGTCGTGAGTTCCCTTCGGGAACGGCCACGATAATTTACTTTTTTATATATTTTTATATCTCGTCATCAGCACTGAAAGGGTGTGCGGTTTCGTCAGTGTAAGCCAGTTTGGCGTGGGCAAAAATAAGCATGTAGCAGCACTGCAGGTATAATCAGACTTTCAAACATTGTCCATTTTGTGTTATTTTGTATGTTTGATAAGAAAGACCATGATTCTGAAAGATTTATTGTGCACCAGGATGCGGAGTGACCTGCTACCATTCTAATGAACTATACCTCTAGTGTTGGCACCTGAAATCCGACCCCTAGTTTTCATACTCGAGTGCACAACCGATTATGCATGTAATGTAATGGGTAGCCGAGTGGTAGGCGCGGTGTAATCAACAAGAATTATCTTTTATTCTATTTCTTTCAGGTACTCACCTGAGATATAATTATTAGTGAAAGAAGAAGCGGCAAATAAATAACTTTCTCTCCGGTGCTCCCCTAGAGGCTGATTTCTTCTTCTTCGAGTTAGCTTTCGTTGCTATCTAATCTAATTTTCCTCCAAACAGAAATGCCCAGCCGCTTTAATGCAGCAGACGCCCTACGCTTACATACGGAGATACACTAAAATAATATACATCAGGCAAAGCTCCGTATTAGTTCCGTACTACTTCCGTATTGGTCGGGCAGGGATACTACATGTAGCAGTCTGTGTCTGGCAGTGTGAAATACAACATGTACACATAATTGGGAATTGCAATACAAGCAAATTCCTCCAGGGGAGGATTTCAGTTGCCAGCCCCATACTAGTGTTAGCAGCAGCACTTACCTTCACAGTGCGGTAATGAAGTGAGATTCCCATGAACTGTGCAAGTTGATGTGGCATCACCCTTTAGCAAAAAGCCCTCATTGCATGAAAAGGAAACATTGCTTCCCCACCGGATCATGGTGTTATCAGCAGTGCCGTTACCAACAGAAGGTACAGCGCAGTTTACAGCTGTACACAGAATGAGAGCAACACGAAAATAAGCTTTCACTGCCGGCCCTAGTTTCCCCTTGTTGGCTAAGCTTTCAGCGCACTTACTTTCATTTTGAACCCTGCATGCAAGTCGCAGAGCAAAATCTTCCACCATTTTTGATTACATTTATGGATTTCCATGATCTACGGCTTGTTGGAAAGGCCTGAGCCAAGCGAAGAGTCCTTGGTAGATCTCAGCTTCATAGGCATTCGAGGGTCACTTCTATATGCTCTAGAAGATGCCTTTACGTGTATCATAATCGCTAAAAAAACTTCATAATACATTTTTTGTTCGCCATCTCGTTCAAACTAAACTAAACTCCACGATTCAAACTGCGCTGCAAAGCTGAGATCCTAGCGCTTTCTTTGATGTCCAACATGCATGCTCTGTAGCATATGGAAACCCCTAAAAAAGCAAGTCGTGAGCAAAAGGTTTGAAGTGAATGCCAGAAAGAATATTTTTGATTCTTTCCAATTATATTCGTCACCACTCACTCACATCTACTTTTGTCGCAAAGGACTTTATAATCATATCACTGGAAAGCTGAGCTCAATACCTTTCCAACGGTGTCTCGTGTTTGGAAATCGGCCGCTGTTGACAAAAGTTACGACAGTTTGTACAGTGATGTCTGCACTTCATACTATAGCGTGGACAGTGGAGCGAGATATCTCGTCATCCGCCGTTCAGGTACACTTTACACATTTACACAGCGAGATATTTCGTCCTACCTGGTTCAAGTCCTGCCTGGGAGCGGTTTTTCAAGCCGTGCTGCCACCCACAGTCAACTGGGAACTTGTGGCCAGGCACAAGGAGTACATGGACGCAGCTAATGGGGTCGTTCTCGGCACTTGTGCCAGTGGTTGTGAGACTTATCCACTCACCCCCACCGTTAGGCGCTGCATCTGCCGCTAGGGTAAACCGGGTATTAACGGCCGTCGTGAGTTCCCTTCGGGAACGGCCACGATAATTTACTTTTTTATATATTTTTATATCTCGTCATCAGCACTGAAAGGGTGTGCGGTTTCGTCAGTGTAAGCCAGTTTGGCGTGGGCAAAAATAAGCATGTAGCAGCACTGCAGGTATAATCAGACTTTCAAACATTGTTCATTTTGTGTTATTGTGTATGTTTGATAAGAAAGACCATGATTCTGAAAGATTTATTGTGCACCAGGATGCGGAGTGACCTGCTACCATTCTAATGAACTATACCTCTAGTGTTGGCACCTGAAATCCGACCCCTAGTTTTCATACTCGAGTGCACAACCGATTATGCATGTAATGTAATGGGTAGCCGAGTGGTAGGCGCGGTGTAATCAACAAGAATTATCTTTTATTCTATTTCTTTCAGGTACTCACCTGAGATATAATTATTAGTGAAAGGAGAAGCGGCAAATAAATAACTTTCTCTCCGGTGCTCCCCTAGAGGCTGATTTCTTCTTCTTCGAGTTAGCTTTCGTTGCTATCTAATCTAATTTTCCTCCAAACAGAAATGCCCAGCCGCTTTAATGCAGCAGACGCCCTACGCTTACATACGGAGATACACTAAAATAATATACATCAGGCAAAGCTCCGTATTAGTTCCGTACTACTTCCGTATTGGTCGGGCAGGGATACTACATGTAGCAGTCTGTGTCTGGCAGTGTGAAATACAACATGTACACATAATTGGGAATTGCAATACAAGCAAATTCCTCCAGGGCCTAGGGGAGGATTTCAGTTGCCAGCCCCATACTAGTGTTAGCAGCAGCACTTACCTTCACAGTGCGGTAATGAAGTGAGATTCCCATGAACTGTGCAAGTTGATGTGGCATCACCCTTTAGCAAAAAGCCCTCATTGCATGAAAAGGAAACATTGCTTCCCCACCGGATCATGGTGTCATCAGCAGTGCCGTTACCAACAGAAGGTACAGCGCAGTTTACAGCTGTACACAGAATGAGAGCAACACGAAAATAAGCTTTCACTGCTGGCCCTAGTTTCCCCTTGTTGGCTAAGCTTTCAGCGCACTTACTTTCATTTTGAACCCTGCATGCAAGTCGCAGAGCAAAATCTTCCACCATTTTTGATTACATTTATGGATTTCCATGATCTACGGCTTGTTGGAAAGGCCTGAGCCAAGCGAAGAGTCCTTGTTAGTTCTCAGCTTCATAGGCATTCGAGGGTCACTTCTATATGCTCTAGAAGATGCCTTTACGTGTATCATAATCGCTAAAAAAACTTCATAATACATTTTTGTTCGCCATCTCGTTCAAACTAAACTAAACTCCACGATTCAAACTGCGCTGCAAAGCTGAGATCCTAGCGCTTTCTTTCATGTCCAACATGCATGCTCTGTAGCATATGGAAACCCCTAAAAAAGCAAGTCGTGAGCAAAAGGTTTGAAGTGAATGCCAGAAAGAATATTTTTGATTTTTTCCAATTATATTCGTCACCACTCACTCACATCTAATTTTGTCGCAAAGGACTTTATAATCATATCACTGGAAAGCTGAGCTCAATACCTTTCCAACGGTGTATCGTGTTTGGAAATCGGCCGCTGTTGACAAAAGTTACGACAGTTTGTACAGTGATGTCTGCACTTCATACTATAGCGTGGACAGTGGAGCGAGATATCTCGTCATCCGCTGTTCAGGTACACTTTACTCATTTACACAGCGAGATATATCGTCATCCGCCGTTCAGGTACACTTTACACATTTACAGAGCGAGATATTTCGTCCTACCTGGTTCAAGTCCTGCCTGGGAGCGGTTTTTCAAGCCGTGCTGCCACCCACAGTCACCTGGGAACTTGTGGCCAGGCACAAGGGGTACATGGACGCAGCTAATGGATTCGTTCTCGACCCCTTGTGCCAGTGGTTGTGAGACTTATCCACTCACCCCCACCGTTAGGCGCTGCATCTGCCGCTAGGGTTAACCGGGTATTAACGGCCGTCGTGAGTTCCCTTCGGGAACGGCCACGATAATTTACTTTTTTATATATTTTTATATCTCGTCATCAGCACTGAAAGGGTGTGCGGTTTCGTCAGTGTAAGCCAGTTTGGCGTGGGCAAAAATAAGCATGTAGCAGCACTGCAGGTATAATCAGACTTTCAAACATTGTTCATTTTGTGTTATTGTGTATGTTTGATAAGAAAGACCATGATTCTGAAAGATTTATTGTGCACCAGGATGCGGAGTGACCTGCTACCATTCTAATGAACTATCCGTAGTGTTGGCACCTGAAATCCCACCTCTAGTTTTCATACTCGAGTGCACAACCGATTATGCATGTAGTGTAATGGGTAGCCGAGTGGTAGGCGCGGTGTAATCAACAAGAATTATCTTTTATTCTATTTCTTTCAGGTACACACCTGAGATATAATTATTAGTGAAAGAAGAAGCGGCAAATAAATAACTTTCTCTCCGGTGCTCCCCTAGAGGCTGATTTCTTCTTCTTCGAGTTAGCTTTCGTTGCTATCTAATCTAATTTTCCTCAAAACAGAAATGCCCAGCCGCTTTAATGCAGCAGACGCCCTACGCTTACATACGGAGATACACTAAATATACATCAGGCAAAGCTCCGTATTAGTTCCGTACTACTTCCGTATTGGTCGGGCAGGGATACTACATGTAGCAGTCTGTGTCTGGCAGTGTGAAATACAACATGTACACATAATTGGGAATTGCAATACAAGCACATTCCTCCAGGGGAGGATTTCAGTTGCCAGCCCCATACTAGTGTTAGCAGCAGCACTTACCTTCACAGTGCGGTAATGAAGTGAGATTCCCATGAACTGTGCAAGTTGATGTGGCATCACCCTTTAGCAAAAAGCCCTCATTGCATGAAAAGGAAACATTGCTTCCCCACCGGATCTTGGTGTTATCAGCAGTGCCGTTACCAACAGAAGGTACAGCGCAGTTTACAGCTGTACACAGAATGAGAGCAACTCGAAAATAAGCTTTCACTGCTGGCCCTAGTTTCCCCTTGTTGGCTAAGCTTTCAGCGCACTTACTTTCATTTTGAACCCTGCATGCAAGTCGCAAAGCAAAATCTTCCGCCATTTTTGATTACATTTATGGATTTCCATGATCTACGGCTTGTTGGAAAGGCCTGAGCCAAGCGAAGAGTCCTTGGTAGTTCTCAGCTTCATAGGCATTCGAGGGTCACTTCTATATGCTCTAGAAGATGCCTTTACGTGTATCGTAATCGCTAAAAAAACTTCATAATACATTTTTGTTCGCCATCTCGTTCAAACTAAACTAAACTCCACGATTCAAACTGCGCTGCAAAGCTGAGATCCTAGCGCTTTCTTTCATGTCCAACATGCATGCTCTGTAGCATATGGAAACCCCTAAAAAAGCAAGTCGTGAGCAAAAGGATTGAAGTGAATGCCAGAAAGAATATTTTTGATTTTTTCCAATTATATTCGTCACCACTCACTCACATCTAATTTTGTCGCAAAGGACTTTATAATCATATCACTGGAAAGCTGAGCTCAATACCTTTCCAACGGTGTATCGTGTTTGGAAATCGGCCGCTGTTGACAAAAGTTACGACAGTTTGTACAGTGATGTCTGCACTTCATACTATAGCGTGGACAGTGGAGCGAGATATCTCGTCATCCGCCGTTCAGGTACACTTTACACATTTACAGAGCGAGATATCTCATCATCCGCTGTTCAGGTACACTTTACACATTTACAGAGCGAGATATTTCGTCCTACCTGCTTCAAGTCCTGCCTGGGAGCGGTTTTTCAAGCCGTGCTGCCACCCACAGTCAACTGGGAACTTGTGGCCAGGCACAAGGGGTACATGGACGCAGCTAATGGGGTCGTTCTCAGCCCCTTGTGCCAGTGGTTGTGAGACTTATCCACTCACCCCCACCGTTAGGCGCTGCATCTGCCGCTAGGGTTAACCGGGTATTAACGGCCGTCGTGAGTTCCCTTCGGGAACGGCCACGATAATTTACTTTTTTATATATTTTTATAACTCGTCATCAGCACTGAAAGGGTGTGCGGTTTCGTCAGTGTAAGCCAGTTTGGCGTGGGCAAAAATAAGCATGTAGCAGCACTGCAGGTATAATCAGACCTTCAAATATTGTTCATTTTGTGGTATTGTGTATGTTTGATAAGAAAGACCATGATTCTGAAAGATTTATTGTGCACCAGGATGTGGAGTGACCTGCTACCATTCTAATGAACTATCCGTAGTGTTGGCACCTGAAATCCGACCCCTAGTTTTCATACTCGAGTGCACAACCGATTATGCATGTAGTGCAATGGGTAGCCGAGTGGTAGGCGCGGTGTAATCAACAAGAATTATCTTTTATTCTATTTCTTTCAGGTACACACCTGAGATATAATTATTAGTGAAAGAAGAAGCGGCAAATAAATAACTTTCTCTCCGGTGCTCCCCTAGAGGCTGATTTCTTCTTCTTCGAGTTAGCTTTCGTTGCTATCTAATCTAATTTTCCTCAAAACAGAAATGCCCAGCCGCTTTAATGCAGCAGACGCCCTACGCTTACATACGGAGATACACTAAATATACATCAGGCAAAGCTCCGTATTAGTTCCGTACTACTTCCGTATTGGTCGGGCAGGGATACTACATGTAGCAGTCTGTGTCTGGCAGTGTGAAATACAACATGTACACATAATTGGGAATTGCAATACAAGCACATTCCTCCAGGGGAGGATTTCAGTTGCCAGCCCCATACTAGTGTTAGCAGCAGCACTTACCTTCACAGTGCGGTAATGAAGTGAGATTCCCATGAACTGTGCAAGTTGATGTGGCATCACCCTTTAGCAAAAAGCCCTCATTGCATGAAAAGGAAACATTGCTTCCCCACCGGATCATGGTGTTATCAGCAGTGCCGTTACCAACAGAAGATACAGCGCAGTTTACAGCTGTACACAGAATGAGAGCAACTCGAAAATAAGCTTTCACTGCTGGCCCTAGTTTCCCCTTGTTGGCTAAGCTTTCAGCGCACTTACTTTCATTTTGAACCCTGCATGCAAGTCGCAGAGCAAAATCTTCCGCCATTTTTGATTACATTTATGGATTTCCATGATCTACGGCTTGTTGGAAAGGCCTGAGCCAAGCGAAGAGTCCTTGGTAGTTCTCAGCTTCATAGGCATTCGAGGGTCACTTCTATATGCTCTAGAAGATGCCTTTACGTGTATCATAATCGCTAAAAAAACTTCATAATACATTTTTGTTCGCCATCTCGTTCAAACTAAACTAAACTCCACGATTCAAACTGCGCTGCAAAGCTGAGATCCTAGCGCTTTCTTTCATGTCCAACATGCATGCTCTGTAGCATATGGAAACCCCTAAAAAAGCAAGTCGTGAGCAAAAGGTTTGAAGTGAATGCCAGAAAGAATATTTTTGATTTTTTCCAATTATATTCGTCACCACTCACTCACATCTAATTTTGTCGCAAAGGACTTTATAATCATATCACTGGAAAGCTGAGCTCAATACCTTTCCAACGGTGTATCGTGTTTGGAAATCGGCCGCTGTTGACAAAAGTTACGACAGTTTGTACAGTGATGTCTGCACTTCATACTATAGCGTGGACAGTGGAGCGAGATATCTCGTCATCCGCCGTTCAGGTACACTTTACACATTTACAGAGCGAGATATCTCATCATCCGCCGTTCAGGTACACTTTACACATTTACAGAGCGAGATATTTCGTCCTACCTGGTTCAAGTCCTGCCTGGGAGCGGTTTTTCAAGCCGTGCTGCCACCCACAGTCAACTGGGAACTTGTGGCCAGGCACAAGGGGTACATGGACGCAGCTAATGGGGTGCTTCTCAGCACTTGTGCCAGTGGTTGTGAGACTTATCCACTCACCCCCACCATTAGGCGCTGCATCTGCCGCTAGGGTTAACCGGGTATTAACGGCCGTCGTGAGTTCCCTTCGGGAACGGCCACGATAATTTACTTTTTTATATTTTTTTATATCTCGTCATCAGCACTGAAAGGGTGTGCGGTTTCGTCAGTGTAAGCCAGTTTGGCGTGGGCAAAAATAAGCATGTAGCAGCACTGCAGGTATAACCAGACTTTCAAACATTGTTCATTTTGTGTTATTGTGTATGTTTGATAAGAAAGACCATGATTCTGAAAGATTTATTGTGCACCAGGATGCGGAGTGACCTGCTACCATTCTAATGAACTATCCGTAGTGTTGGCACCTGAAATCCGACCCCTAGTTTTCATACTCGAGTGCACAACCGATTATGCATGTAGCAGTCTGTGTTTGGCAGTGTGAAATACAACATGTACACATAATTGGGAATTGCAATACAAGCACACTGCTGCAGGGGCGGATTTCAGTTGCCAGCCTTATACTAGGGTTAGCAGCAGCACTTACCTTCACATTGCGGTAATGAAGTGAGATTACCATGAACTGTGCAAGTTGATGTGGCATCACCCACTAGCAAAAAGCCTTCATTGCATGAAAAGGAAACATTGCTTCCCCACCGGATCATGGTGCTATCAGCAGTGCCGTTACCAACAGAAGGTACAGCACAGTTTACAGCTGTGCACAGAATGAGAGCGACACGAAAATAAGCTTTTAGGCAGGATACAGTGTACACTGGAAATTGTGGAACTAAAGTGACTTTCGCAGATTCTGAGGGAGAGACTGGACGTATTGTTCAGGGAATGATTCAAAAGGCGGAGTCAACTGAAGAACGGTCTAAGAACGAAGGTATGAAGAGAATCGACAAGGAACTCGGCGATGAATTGGATGACGAGATTGACGGAGGTGACCCGGACGGCAATGATGAGATTGATGATTATGGAAACGTCGAGACGGAGGAGCTGAATGAATGTGGTGATGGTGTAATATCCCTGACAATGACTATTCATCAACCTCGAAGTTACATTGTAGTTCATGAGCCTAAGAGCTTGTACTCCCCCCGCTAGTGTTGTAAGCTTGGAACACTTTTCATTATTTTTGTGACACCCTAAGTTTTTAGAAGTGTACTATGATTTGTGGTTCACTGTGCTGTATCTCATACAGTATGCTCGGCAATTACAGGTACTTAACCCTTTGCTGCCCATTATAATCTATACGTTTTCGACATACCCGGACCAGCAGGGAGCAATAAATATACAGTAACGTTGTTCTCCACACAATATACTCGTGTACATAAATATTCTTGTAAACATTCACGTTCTTCCTGCTTTCTTCTCCTCACCCTTGTCCTCTCAGCTTATACCCTCATTATAATGCTTTTCTCGTTTTTATCGTTAAATACCCGAAGCTTGCTAAATAAGTTTGATGAGCTTCCCTCCCTTACGCCACTTCTCTCAGTATGACGTTTGTGATATCCCCGCCCACAGACTTGTGCTCGGGCAGAGTGCGCAATTTGCGGAATACGTCGTGCTGGGTTATGTTTTGCAATTGAAACTGGAGATCTGGTGTAAATTGTGCTGGCGGTAGGGTGGTAGCACACGGGTCAAAAGACGGATTTGGGGAGAACTGGCTTTTGAAACAACGGGCCAGTGCTTCTGCTTTAGAAGAATCACAAGCCGCATCTCTACAATCATCAACCAGGGTCGGGATGGTCGCTCGCTTCTTGCTGATCTGGACAATTTTCTTGGCCTCGGCGCACCATTTGTAACAGTTTTTGTCCCTGAATATGCGAGCAAAGCTCTTTGAAATAGAGGGACTTGCTGCATTCAAGACTGTTTGTAAGACCATCTTGTATGCTATCCAGTCTTCCAGCGCTTTCGTTCTCTGGGCTAATTTGAAAATACGGTTCTTGTTCCGGTGCATTCGCTTTTGCTGGGCAGTGAACCAAGGCGTCGTGGTCTGCTTTCTTCTCGGCTTCAATGTTCGCATGGCCAAGTGGCGCTGGATACTCTCATTGGCATAGGAGTGCCAAGAGTGCCAGGCGCTTTCCATACAACTGGCGCCATCTATACAATCTCGGAGAGGCTGCAACCAGAGGTCCGCTCGCATAGCCTCAAAGTCGGTGCGTGCGTAATCCGGTACCACTATCTGCTCACGAGTTTGGTGTCGTAGTTGCCTCAGTTGAATGTTGCAGAGTACTGGACAGTGGTCGGAGAGCGGAGGCAGCACTTCGGGAGTGGTGACTAGATGGGGAGTATTGGTGATGACAAGGTCAAGCAGAGACGGAGGCGATCGACCTGTTGGTGTGTAACGAGTGGGTGTGTGGGTGATGAGTTGGAGAAGACCCAGGTCATCCAGCGTGGCGATCAGTTTCCGGCATTCTGAAGTATCTGGGTCGGACTAGAGCGAACAGGACATTCTGCAATTCAAGTCGCCGATCAGAATGGGGGTTGTCAAGGTGTCATGTGACAGTGGCATGGAAAGCATGGAAAAATGTTTCGCGTTGGGCCACTATGGAATGCGGGGGTCTGTAAAAAAGGTGAAAGGAACAGAGGGGACTAGCAGGGCTATTAAATTAATGGTAAAGCAAACAGATATCTTCTAGGCATGGACATTCAATGTGGGAGAAGCGAGAGAAGTATGGAGCAAGGGAAGAGCGTAGATAGACTGCTACTCCTCCCCCCCCCCCCCATTGAGGAATATACTGCATTATGCCTATCTCGTTTAAAGAGGGTGTAGCCATCTAGCATCAGGGCGGCATCTAGCAATGAATGATGGAACCAAGTTTCACTGAGAAATAGTATGTCTAAGTTGTGATCCACCAAAAGTTGCTTAATCACTGGCAGCTTGCTCACAGCGCTTTGGCAGTTAAGTTGGCCGACTCGAAGACCAACTTCTGAGGATGTAGTGAAGGAAAGTGGCGTAGGGGGGGATGTTATATAGATGTGGGTGGGTAGGCTTGGCTGTTAACAGATCTGGCATAGTGTGTCCCCTAGGTGTGCCTGCGTTGGAAGGTGTGAATACAGCGGCCAATGGGTTGAGCAAGTTCTTGGTAGGAAGTGGGGTAAGCTGAATGTTGGTGTTGGGGTGATCAGAGCAGAGGACTAAATGAACATACGTCTAAGTTGAACTGTGACTAAGACTCACAAGTACATGCTGGTCTTGCGGTCTAGCGATCTACTGCGTGCCGCAATCCTTGCGGCTAGTTGGCGCTGCTCAAGCGCTGCAGCCTCATTGGCCCACTGGCCCTGTAGGTCGGGCTCCTTGGGCATTGCAAGTGTTGTGCGAAATGAATGTTTGCCAACTGCCAGAACAAACTCACCGGGTGGTTTGTCAGGAGACTGGTGACTGGTCTTTCCACGAACTGGTGGGTGCTGGGGAGCTGTGGGTGTAGCACTTGGTGCAGGTACCTCCATGAGGACTTCGGATACCCCAGGATAGGGCTAGATCACCGCACCCATCTGCTGGTGCTGGTGCCACCACCTGCGTGTTCACCGCTGAGGTTTCGACTGTTACGTCTGCTGCTACGTCTACTGCTACGGCTGGTTGGTTGTTGTTGCCGTGGTTCTCCACCTCGAGTTTGTTTTGTGGCGAGCTTCGGAGCCGTATATGGTATCAGAGTACGAGCGTACAGCCGGCTGTTGCACACTTGCTTGCTCATTATATGGTGGAGATTTTTCGTTCTTCCGTACTGAACGCTTTCTCTTTGGGCAGTGAGTAGCCATGTGATCTGGTGAATCACACAGTCTACACGTCTTTGGCTGGTCAGTGTACTGTACAGAGAACACATGACCACCAGCTGTCCTGACGTACGACGGAATAGACAATGCATGGCGAGCAAGGTGGAAGCTTACATAGCGTACACCAGACGCCACCTTCAAACCTCGGCGGGGCGTTACGTGCCCATGACGTACCGTACTAGCGCCTTTCCCGTAGGGATCCAAGGCTTTCAAAAGTGCCTCGTCTGATATCCACACTGGGAGGTCTGTGACATGTAATTGCAGTGTAGGCTGTAAAAAATGCGTCACGTTTACAAGTTCACCATGAACCATCATTCCCTCACTAAAGAGTTTCTCTATAGTCAAAAAGGTCACGATACATGAAGGGTTCTTACTTAGCTGCACAGCTCGAAGGTCAGCATAGCCGAGATCCTCCAGGGTGTGCGGAATATTGACGGTTTGGGCGCCAGGCGGGCAATGGATTTTGGCAGATGTCTCCCGCAACTGCTGTGAGGAGAGACTCCTCCACGCCGGCACGGAACCCCCAGCACCATCCATGTCCTCGGTGCGAAATGATACAAGGTAACAATCTACTACTAGACACACTATGAACTACAGGCACACAGAAGAGTTGCTCCGAGCTCCAAAATGTGCATCCACACTCAAGAGTACCATATTTGATAAAATATTTAGGAATGGATATATCCTAAAGGGTCTATGTTGAAAATTTGAGGTGGTTCGTGAGATATAGACTTTCAAAGTTGCCCATTCCAAGATATTTCCTTGCTCTTGTTGGTCTCGTCATGGCCGACTGCCTTCGCTGCCACCTTTGAATGCGTTGTTGATCCAGATTTATTAACGATTTCCGTCAGGGAGGAAACTGAACGGGCGAGGTCGTCAATTTTACTATTAATTTTAGTCTTTTCTTTGATCGGCGGAAAGACTACGCTCCCTTTCCATTTCTTCGAGGATTTTGAAAAAATGACTTGCACATGCTGAGCAACACTGACGGAAAGAATCTCTGCGCACAGGGTCTGGACCACCAAACTGAGCATCTACTGTGATATCACCACATACATTTGTGCCCATCATGCTAAGCTAGCACCTGAGGGGCAAAACTGCAAGATTCATTGCATACAAGCGGAGCCCAAAAATGGCAAGCGCCCCCTGCAGCAAAACCTTTTTGAGTAAGGGTACGAAGTGCAAGTCTCCTTATAGATCCTTTTCTCTTCACAGTATTACTATTGTGAAGAAGAGGTTGGTGTGACTTCGGCCACTGAAACGACTTCGGCGACTGAAGCTCAACTGATGGGGAGTGAATTCCCCGAAACACTGTGTATTGAGCAGGGAGTGGTGCTTTCTTGCAGGTTTGCCGAGTGGACGGTTCGATGGACTTCTCATGTGCTCTGGATGGCAGTCGTGAGTGAATCAAGTGAGAATCCAAGTCGGCAGGGAACCGCGAGCTCCCATGTAGGGAGCAACACACTCTTGCTATTATTACTATTGGTTCAATTATTATTTGTCACGGCTCATTTGAAGCAAGTTTAAGTTGGACTTACGTATTTCGCAAACAACGTATAGAAGCGTGAGTCTATTGATGCCTCCAAGTGTATTGAACATAGACATACTCCCATCTTGTGCTCTTCTCCATGCGATGATATCTGTGGTGGTCAAACCGACCGAGCAATTGTCGTTATATGAGGCATCTGAGAGGATTGTTCCATTGTAAAAGCTACAGATTGCTTGTGCTGTAGTGTAGCTCGTTATGAGGCCGACAAGGCTGACTCTCACTATGCTCTTTGATAGTTGGCATGTATTGTGGTCCATGATCAGTTCTGTCGTCATGAACAACAACAAAAACCGAGCAACAAACAGACAACGTCAATACAACCAATTGAACCTTGTTGGGCATATCAGCGTAGTTGGTGCAATTTTACATTGTCATTACAATTTCCTTGAGAGCTACAGTGGCTTAACTTTTTCCATTTTTTTCTTCTGAAAGAGACATTAAAGCTCCCTGGCTTACCGCCTGTGGAAGCAGAAAAAGAATATATTCGCACTTGGCCATTCACACGACGTTCAAAAACATTCACACCTTTGACCAAGATATCACTTGCAAACAGTGATCCAGTTCACACGGTGCTGGATAAACGTTGAACACGTCAAAGTACTAGTATGCATTGTGATCTCTTGAAAATGCCGGGAATTTTTAATTTGTTCCCCTTTTGAATTTTTTCCCCTTTCAACAACTGACCCTTTTGCTCTCGTGAACTCCTGAAGAGAAGAATCGTTAGCACAAGGGCATTGCTGTCGTCTTCTTCCTCGAAGGATGATCAATGTAGTCATTTCAACGTGGTACCGTAAACTCTGGCCAGAGCTTCCCAGTCATTCCCATGCGCCCCTCCCTGACTTCAGGGAAGTGATTGATTGTATCCTCGTATGACTCTGTGATGTCGTACTGTACTGCAGTCGAGTGCTGGACCCGATTGGAATGTATGCAACAATGCCCACCTTCTTCACCAGGGATCGCAGAAACCCAGAGTTTTGGTGGATCTGTATGACCCCTGGCTCTTGACCTTTGGTTGGTGTACGAGATGCACGAACAGTTTTCATATGGCGAGTACTTTTTCATGTAGTACTGAATGAGGTAAATAGGACTCGCCCGTCCGCCCCTCCACCCCCCCCCCCCCCGGACCTACTCGAAGGGTGGCGGAAAGAGTACATACATCAGAGTGTGCAACTCGGGATGGATCCTGTGGGAGCGTAATTCGTGCACTACGTCGTTTCTGACAGCATGGTAAGCCACAGGTATGGTGAAAAGTTGCGTAACCAGTCGCGGTGGTGTAGGTCACTGAGTTTGTCCTGATTTCGGTTTTTTGATACGGATAGCCTGGTGACTTTACTTGTCGGTGGTTGTATGCAGCGTACAGTCACACAAAACACCGAAATACTGAAACTGGACGTCTAAAATCAAGCAAACTTGGCTGATTTCCTGGCTATGAAACATGAAAATTTGAGCTGTACGCAAGTGGCGGCTTGGCTGACCTCATCAGGGTGACGTAGTGCACGAACTGCGCTATTTCAGATCTGATATGCAAAGTTGCACGCTCTGGTTTATGTACTCTTGGTGGCGGAGGTAGGGGCACTTTGACGGGATTTTACGTTACGGACCATAAGTGAATCTTTCTGATGTGATTGGCCTCAAAAAGTTTTAACGCTTTAAAAAGACAAATGAGTCATGATCTCCGTAAATGGACCTTAGGGGAAAATTTTTGAAATTCACTTTTGATTTGGAAAATATAACTAGTACGTAGAATTCGACTTGACAAAGTTTAACATTAATATTAGCCTTACAAGTCGCTTGAATTCTCCATATTGTAGAATGCACTGTAATTGTCAAATTCGGTAATGTACTTCTGCCATTTAATGTTAGTCTTGTACTGTTCTTGACCTTTATTACAAGAATCTTCTTTTCTTTTTCATTTCGTTTTCCTACTCTCACACACACATGCTCACAGTCAATTCTGCCGTTGTGATCCCAATTCGGGACGGATACGAGAATAATGATTATCATAATAATAATTTTTACAAGAGGTCAGAGGCGAATAATACTTTTATAACGAAGGTTCGTTATGGGTCGTAAGTATCCACGCAAACACACATCCAATCAAAATAAGGCACTTGTCAAAGTATCCGAACGTTTTCGGTCCCTTCTCATCAAGGATTATACAGGGAATTGCTCAAGTTGGAAAGACTAAAACTTATATAGTGTAAAGATAATGAGATAACAACACTCGTGACAAGGTGGAAAATTATCAAGTTCAGCACTTCACAAAACTCGAAGGAAAATAATAATAGTGACAACAACAGTCGTAGCGTCGATCCACAGCGAACAGCGCCAGTCATAAGGCACAGTCCGTGACAGGGTGACTTTTGGACCCAATTTCTTGTTTTTCAGGACTTCTTTTCAACTATTTCTCCTTGAATGAAAGCGGAGTCAAGTTCACAATACCAGTTTTTCATGAACACCAAAACAGTAGCTTCGAAAGGTGTGCCATTCAAATAATAGCTCCAGGAAATGATAAAATAGTTCGTCGGCTACGCTCCTGAACTATCCCTAAATACCATACGTGACATCAGACCTTATCTTGCTAAAATTCAACTCAAGTCGTGTGACGGCGCGTTTGGTTGGTAAGAACTAGAACAGGATTGACCAGAACAGCGCGTTGGGTTCGGACTGCACCTGTTTTGGGTCGGCCAGAACATGTTCTGCTTGCTCCGGTGTCGAGGCCGGAGACGCTTTTGGGTTGGACTCGTCGTACCGTACACAGTGGTCACGGTGACCCATACAAACTTTGAAGAATGCACCAAGTTTGGCATATTTTTCACCAAAATTTGCTTTGTTTTTGGAGTACCGTTTGGTTGGCATGAGGCTGCTCCATGTGCACCAGCTGTGCGATCCTGTTCTAGATCGTACCAACCAAACGCACCCTTAGCCATTCTGCAATTTATCATTGAAAGCGCAGTGTTTGAAATGCTAGACATTTCCAAGTACGAATCTGGAGTAGTTGGCGCACGACGCCGTCTTCTGTTCACACTCAAAATGCGGCTGTTTTGTACGCTTGCGTCCCCGCATACGCATGTCTACGGAATGAAAAGTTGAATCAAACCAACTCTTGCCATCGCTTCCCAATCCATACTGCAGTACAGTTGCATTCCCGTTCCTGGTGTTCACATTGAACGCCGTCAGACTGTCCGGTCGATAAATGTTTTCAAACGTTACGTTTTATGTCTCTTCTAATATTTCAAAATGTGAGTAGTTTACGAAATAGTGGTTGCGACTTCGGCGATGATATTTTTAGGAATGGGTGAAACACTGTTTATAGAGGAGAGAGTTTTGCTTTCTTGCAGGTTTGCCCAGTCGAAGGTTGGATGTACTTCTCGTGTTCTCTGGATGGCAGTGGTGAGTCATCCAAGTGTCAAGTCAAGTCGGCGGAATAGCGCGAGCTCCATAGTGTAATAGTAGTATAATACTGAATGTCCTTGAATGTCCTAGAAGACACATTTCAACAGGTCCAGCATTTCGGCACTCACCGTCGTATCGGCACGTGATATCGCTATGCATTGTTTGAGGTTTTGTCTGGTCATATCGTCGGGGAAGACAACCTTGAAAATAGGAAGAAAAGAAGGCGACATGAAATAAGTGTGAATAAAACGATTTTTTGGTGAAAGACATAACGTGAAAAGGGATTCAATACATGGGCCCCAACCAGCGAAAAAAGCCCTTGGGTCAAAATGTTCAAAATTCTTTTTGGTTAGAAATTTGTTGAAACACATCTACTGAAGGATCTCAGCCAAGAAAAACTTCAATATTCCGACTCTAAACGCGTGTTCACACCAATATACAAGATGTACTCCAAATTCGTGCAATGTATGTGATTGATGTACAGTGTACGTCTTAAATGAATATTCAGCATTCGAAGGTGGGTGCACGGTGGGCAGCTTGAATATTTTTGAAATAGTGCAGTAACGAGCTATAATGATAAAGAATAGCTGATGAGTACGGAGAAATGATCGACCTATTCGCAGCTGCATCCTGCGTGGAGTCGTTCCGCAATCTCGTCTTCCATTTCTTCCTCCGCAGCTGCTTTGGAGACACATGGGCTGCATGTGCCCACCGCATGCACCACTCATGTTCACCTCAGTGAATGCGGACACAGTTATGAACATACTGACCAATCTCAACTCCTACAAGTCTGCAGATTCGGATGGCATTCTTCTGTGCATGTTAAGGTCGTGTCAGGTGTGTATTGCAGCACCGCTAACCTCAATCATCAACTAATCGCTTCTCTCTTGTGCTTTTCCCACAACACACAAGAACACACACACACATGTGCCCTTTATTCAAATCCGGAGACAAACCACCAGGTACAAACTACTGTCCAATATATCTTTTGCCACTTGCCTTCAAGGTATTGGAGAAGATCGTAAACGCGTCTCCGACTACCTTAATGTCACTTTAAGTCATGGCAAGTTTGATACAGATTTAAACGTACACACAGTTTTCAAAGGGATTGCTCTTATTGATGATCTTTGCCGGCAAATTACAACTTACGTATTTCACATATAGCGTATTGATTTTGATCTATGGGCTGCGGGTCGTCGAATCCTGCCATTGTTAGATGTGCATATCCCGACAATGTTGCCACTCCCCTCCACGCAATAATGTCTTTGGTTGCAACGCGATGCGAACATCCATCAAAGAATGACTGATCTGAGATAATTGTTCCATTGTACACCTTACAGAGTTGCTGTGCAGACTTGTAATTTATTTCGGTGCTGGATCTAACAATTACTGAACTGGATGGATCACAATAACGGAGTGGCGATGGTGTAGTAACTGTAGTCAAGCATTAAAACCAAACAGCAAAAGTGAGAATAAACATCATAGTTTATAAACAGAAGAAATAACATGAAAACGAGTTACGAAGCAACTACCCACGGCTCCCTGCTCAATACACAGTGTTTCTGGGAATTCAACCCTCACCAGTTGAGCTTGAGTAGGCCGAAGTCACACCAACCTCTTATCCACGACTGTGACAAGATAACAAGCAGTCAGAAAGTGCGAGAACAGGCCACTACACTGACATGGCGCTGAGAGATTCAACGGCCTGAGACCTAGCTCTCACACACTTTCAGTGCGCCAACCAACAGCCTTCCAGCTGAGTTTAACATCCGGGTTAAAAATCGAGGTGCTAGATTTTTCTTATTGCCAGACGAAAACAGTCAACGCTTGCAGACACCAGCACAAACACCGCAGCAGTTACACTCCACAACAGCTGGAGGTTGCTACTGACAACCCTTGTTTCGGTCCATTATGATGTTGGAAACTCATCAGAGAAGAGAGGTAGATGTTGACTGAAATGGGTTGAACTAACACCATATCTCCATTTACCACTCTTCCATTCCTATATTCTATAGGTACATCACACACTGTTTTTTTCTTTTCCTTTGGGTTCCATTTGTCCTTTTCTGGGTTTTTTGGGGTTGCATTAAATTTGCATTAAATTTGCATTGCATTTTCATCCACTGTGTTTCTTTTGCCAGTAAAAGAGGCTTCATCTACTCTTGTATATCGCCCTGCACTAATTCTTGTGATCCTTGACTGGTCCTAAAACAAGCCATGCTCAATCGTGCAGACTAATTGAGATTTACACTGATTTTCACTGATTTTACACTGATTTTTGCGCATTCTTGGGCCCAAATATGTGTCTCTATAGAGGAATCAGTAGATATATTCCTGCTGTGTGGAATTCCGCTTGGTATGCAATTCTTACATTTCCTTTTGCTTTTCACGCATGCACAATCCTGGCAAGTTCCGACAGCACATCACGTGCAACATGTAGGCTTTGTGCCCCGGCAAACGAAAGCTAGAGATGTATGTGAGGCTGGTGATAATGCGAAGATAGACGATTCAGCAAAAAACAACCACTCAGTGCCAACAGCACCCAATAACCAGCAGGAGGTTAACAGAATATAGAACAACGCAAGGACTGCTGCACATCGTGTCGTACGAATCATACGTATCTAATATTGACTGAGTACGAGGTCAATATAGGAAATAAAAGCCGAGTAAAAGACCGAGGCGAAGCCGAGGTCTTTTACGAGGTTTTTATTTCCTATACTGACCAAGTACGAAGTCAATATTACCGTAGATTTATCTCGACAAACAGTCCGTATTTCAAATTTCAGAACGATAACCTCATGAATCCCGGTTTTATGATTGCACAACCGTTGCACCACCGCCTACTCATGCAGTGACAATGCTGCGCTAGGCACCGTTCAACTGCGCAACCCCTAAGCAGTCAAATATCAGCAGTCAATCTAGCCCTAAGGAGTGAAATATGCAGGGATATTTGACTGCTTAGGTATAGCAAAAATCTAAGGGAGTGAATACTAAGGGAGTTATAAACGATTTTACAGCTCACCCAGGCGCCCCGACAGGCTCTTACATCCCGTACCATCAGCGTTGCGTCGGATGTGAACTAGGATTTAGTAGCAGAAGTAGAGTCACAGAAAGGTGTGAACATTTCTCTTTGCATTCCTCAACCAGTGCATATTTAATTCCCGTAGCTATACAGAATGAGATAGTTACGCACCTCTAGCTCCTTGGAGTTCATGTCTTCCTCGACGCGACAATGGTCTAAACTAACTGTCAGTACCTTCAACGTTCGCGGCCTATCATCAGGCATAAAGAAGCAACAGCTGGCTTCCGATTTCCAGCGATACGACGTTCAAATTTGTAGCTTGCAAGAGACGAAAATTCAAAATGGATTTGACGATGTTATTGGCGACTACCGAATATTCCGCCTCCCTTCAGACTCCCGACATTATGGCCTGGGATTCTGCATTCATCGCTCGCTCTGGGAGCGGGTGCATCGCGTTTGGAGCGAGTCGGACCGTGTTGCGGTTCTGCAGATTCGCTCGTCGGAAAACTGCTTTATTTCCATCGTCAACACTTAGGCTCCGACCTCAGCGAAAGTCGCACAAGACCAGGGCTGTTGGAGAACTTCTACTCATCGCTTGGCACGGCTCTCAGTAAGGTACATTCCTCCTCAGTTATTCCAATTTCGGGAGACTTCAATGCCAAACTTGGTGGAATGAGTTCTCAGTATCGGTGCGTAGGACACTACTAGTTCAACGTAACTTCGTCAAGCACCTTTCTCGTACCTCACACCGCTCCTTTCTAAACTCTCTTTCTGCAACACTCTCCTCCCCCGATCGCCCATCACTCCACCAATTCATTCGCAACCAGTGCCGCGGGACCTCCCGCGCGCCAATCCAGTACCTGACGGACTCCCATGGCAACCGCCAGCACGATGTGAAGGCGATTGCAGACACACTGAACAAGCAGTTTGTTTCATCCGGCATTCCGGAAGATCCGAATTGGGTCATTCCATCGCTGTCCCCAGCCCCTGAACTTAGCGCACCACTCACACGCGTCGTTACCACGACTGCTACCGTCTGTAAGCACCTCAAACTCCTGAAGAATTGTAAGTCCCCTGGCGAAGATGGCATACCCAATGAGGTTCTCAAATGGCTTACGCCATCTCTGTCCTATCCCTTGTGCCTGCTCTTTAACATGTCATATCGTACAGGAGTATTTCCGTCCGTCTGGAAATCTGCTGTTATCGTCCCGATCTATAAGAAAGGCCAACGCTCTCAGGCTGGCAAATACAGACCAATCTCTCTCCTTCCCGCTGTGTCCAAGGTCTGTGAACGTATTTTCTTTGAGTCTCTGTACTGCCACGTCACCCCAGCGCTTTCACCATCTCAATCCGGTTTCTGCCGTGGAGACTCCACAACTTTCCAACTAACACGTCTAGTACAAGACATCTACACCCAGCGGAACCTCAGGCGGCATGTTGGCATCGTGTTCTTTGACCTAGCGAAAGCTTTCGACACCGTCTGGCATCGTGGTCTGCTTGCAAAGCTAGAGTCCGTCTTCTTGGTACACGGTCCAGCCCTGCAATGGCTCTCATCCTATCTTTCCTGCCGCCACCAGACTGTCAGAGTATCTACCTCCCTATCAGACCCATTACTAGTCGTGTCTGGGGTACCCCAGGGGTCCATACTTGGGCCGCTCCTATTTCTACTGTACGTTAATGACTTGCCAGCCCTTGTACCAAATGTAAGTCTTTTTGCTGACGACACTGCTCTGATGTGCTCCGACAGCTCGGCAGACAACCTCACGGCCTCCATGCAGTCCGGGGTCAACGCTACAGTAACATGGATGGAAACCTGGAAACTGAAGCCTAACCTCGCCAAAACCGAGGCCATGTTCTTCTCTCCCTCGCCCCCCACTCAACTTCTGTATTTTCCTGGTCTAAATAGTACACCTATTAAAGTTGTTAACGAGCACAAGCACCTGGGCGTTATTCTCGACCGCCAACTCTCCTGGTCTCCACAAGTCCAGTCTGTGTGCAAGCGTGCGAGTGCGTCCTTAGGTATGCTACAACCCCACTGCCAACACTTGAATGATAACTGCAGAAAATTGTTCTTTAAGTCGTACATTTTGCCTATATTTGACTATTGCGATATAGCTTGGTGCGGGTTGTCTCAGACTTTACTCCACAGACTGGAGGTACATCAACGCTTGCTTCTGAAAATTCTGTTTCGAAAAGACCAAACATTTGCCTCCCTTTGTCTTTATAAACTTGCTTCCACGCACCCTCTTCTTGCCCGACATCAGCAGCATCTTTGTATCCTTGTGCAAAAAATCTTCCTAGCCCAAGTCCCGAAACATATTGCCAAGTACAACTGGTTTGTTACCACTAGACCAACACGCAATGCCTTATCACTGCCCCGAGCTAGTTCCTCTCTGTTTTTGAAATCCCCTTTCTTCTCAGCATACTCCCTTTGGTCCAACCTGCCTACTAGCATTAAGACATGCCAGGATATCAGGAAATTCACAGTCCAGCTTTCCACACTGTCTCATCCGAAGTGATCCCATGTATTATTAATGTGCCTCCCTTTCTTTTTCTCTCCCTATCTCCTTTCCCTCTCTGACAGCATCTCTCTTCTTTTTTTTTCTTTTTTTTCCCTTTTAGCTTGCCGTGGTTGGCTATCACCTGACCTCTCATGTTTATTGGCAGTCTTCGGACGGGCCAGGAGATGTTGAATAAATAAATGAATAAATAAATAAACTACGGACGCGGGCGACGGAATTTTAGCGGAGCTGTCCTGGCCGACTTCTGCGACGCACATCATCTCTGCGCTTGCAACACTGCGTTTCAGCATCCAGCGCGGCACCAAACAACATGGACTGGCTGGAGAAAAGGACCTCAAGATGGTGTGTCTATCCCTATATACAATCAAATAGATTATATATTCTGTCTTCATCGACAACGACAGCTACTTGTAGACAGCCGGTCATATTCTGGTACGCTGGTGGAGTCTGACAACCGACTAGTGGTTGCAAGACTCGATCTCTCTCGCCTACGCCATGTGTGGAGCTATGTTGAGCACGGTAAGAAACAGGGTGCCAGCCAAAGAATACTGGTTGGTTGCGTCTCGGACCCAACCATGCGAAGGAGGTATTGTGATGAGCTGGAATCCTCTCTCACCGGCAACCGGCTCGACAACACTAATTGCCCATCAACTACCTGGAATGGTATTCGTCAAACGGTGATTAAAGCAGCGCGGAACACTTTGGGCGTTGCTGCACCCAGGAAGAGAGGTGGAAAGTGGATCATGGACGCCGACACGCTAAAAATGTCCTGTGAGAAGCGTCGACTGAGACACCGGATCCGTGATGAAAAGAATGCCGATGAAGTTAGCATCCTAAAGCAACAGCGCAACAAACTCTCCCACATGATCCGACAACACGCCTGTGCAAAT